GCTCAGAGAGAGTTTCGGCTCGGACTTTCCTGTTTTGCGTCTGCACTCGGACAGAGGAGGGGAGTTTTCCTCTGCCCGTCTGGGAGCCTTCTGTCGGGCACAGGGCATCCGCCAGACCTTCACGCTTCCGGCCTCTCCACAGCAAAATGGGATTGCTGAGCGCCGCATTGGCATGGTCATGGACGTCGCGCGTGCGTCCATGATGCATGCGGCTGCCCCCCATTATCTGTTGCCGTTTCCGGTTCAGTACGCCGCGCATCAGCTCAACCTTCAGCCCCGAGTCTCCTTGCCAGAGACCTCCCCCGCCTTGCGGTGGACAGGGAAGGTTGGCGATGCGTCTGCGTTTCGGGTCTGGGGATCTCGGGCGTTTGTCCGCGACTTGTCTGCGGACAAGCTGTCCCCCCGTGCTGTTCCTTGCGTCTTCCTTGGCTTCCCCCCTGACGCGCCTGGCTGGCAGTTTTACCACCCCACCACGCGCCATGTGTTCTGTCCTCCCAGGACGTCACCTTTGACGAGTCGGTGCCTTACTACCGTCTCTTCCCCTACTGCACTGCGCCCCTCCCCCCGCCGCCGCTCTTCCTTGCGCCAGGTGCTACTCAGGTAGACCCCCTCCCTCCTCAGGGTCCTGCCCCTTCAGGTGTGTCCCAGGTAGACGCAGTCGAGCCTGTCGAGGTAGCTGTAGACTCTGGTGCTGCTAGAGGTGCTGAGCCTGCGGGTGCCGCGTCTGCGGGTGCCGGGTCTGGGGGTGCTGAGTCTGGGGGTGCTGTGACTGGAGGTGCTGAGCCTGGGGGTGCTGAGTCTGGGTGTGAGAGTACGACGGCTTATGCCAGCTATGCTTGCCTGCCTCTACTTTATCATGCTATTTCTAGCATAGGATAATCATATGCATGCATGAATTGCTTGATTTCCTAGGCTAGGTGCTTTCCTATATTTTATTATAGTTATAGCACCGAGCTAGGTTGCGTGCACCGAATTCTGGCTTTTCGGTTGCCACCGAATTGCCTTCTACCGAATTCGGTAAGGATCTGTTCGGGACGCTTCGCGACCCGCGGAACCTTCGCGTAACACCTGGTTACGGGGCCTTGTGTCGAGCCTATATATAGCCTCGTGTTGTACCCAGGTGATCATTCAATTCAATTTGAATCATCTTTTCTGAGCTCGATCCCAGATCCTCACACTTGGTAATCAGAGCGGGTTTACACGCGAGGTCTTCAACCGCTTAGTTCCGGCCTTTAAAAACCGCGGGGGCGACGACGAAAGCGCCGATACGGGTATGTAAAACCAGTTCTGCGCAATTTTTCTAAGTCCCCCTCGATTCGGTTTTCGAACACCCCTCAGATTTACTGGTGGAAAGGTTGGAGTTTCGACCGTTCGATCGAGTTTCATCTCAACGGCCCAGAGAATTTCGCCCAAAAAAGTTGGAATTTGGTGCGTCGGATCGATTTTCTCCTCAACGGCCAAGATCGGACGCGAATTTCGCCTAAGGGAGATTTACGCAACCTACAGAATTCGCGCTCGTCGATTCTACAGTCAATTTGACTCGCAGTAAGTCGACCAGCCCCTTGAATTCAATTATTTTCGTCGCGCATCTTCCTGTAAATCGCCAAATGGAGGGAAAAAAGAGATATTTTAGTACAGAAAATCGCGGAGTTACGTGCTGAGCATAAGCAAATATGTGCAGCGCTCCCACAACTTGAAAAACTCATTGCGAACCAGTCGGCAACCGCCACAGCAGCAGCGACAACAGTAGCAGCAACAGCAGCGGCAACACCGACAATTCTACATGCGACAACGGCAGCAGCTACAGTTAACCTCGAAGCAGTGAAGCTGAGGCTACCGGAGGCGTTCGATCCTACAGTAAAAAGGAACGACGTTCGTCGATTTGTAGCTGAACTCGAAATTTACTTCGAAGCCGTTAGATGCACGACCCCGACAAAAGACGCAATGCGCATACGGCTCGCAGCAACACTGTTACGAGGCCCAGCTCTAGAGTGGATCAACAACAGAATAGTCCAAGGCGAGGGGACGTGGGCGCAGGTTCCGGCAGCACTGATCGAACAGTTTGACACGTTGAACAGTAGCTACTACGGAACACGACGCAACAAGCCAACTAGTGGCATGGGGCGATTGGCACCACCCACGACTGCCGACCCGATGGAGAACGACGAGGGCGATGTGGAGCAGCGGCTAGCAAATAATGAGACGTGCAAATTTTGCGGCGCTACAGGACATCGTATCTTGGCGTGTTGGAAAATGAAGAGAAGGTGTGCGGAGCTGAAGGACAAGAACAGTGCGGCACCCCCGAAGCAGAAAACGGACAACGTGGCAACTTCGGAGAGGGCGAAAAAAGGAGAATATGGTGGCGCAAATTTAAAACGTCACGACCAGCCGGCACCAGGGGAAATCGCCGAGACTAATGGAGGATCCGCGAAACAAGACCCTGCACCGACCGGGAAACTCCAGCCGTATACCCCGACAAGTAAGAATATTACTTCTCGTGGGTTTCAAGCCTTTATTAAGGGAGAGTCAGAAATTAAACCGGTACCGGGTATTATGGGGACCCAACTCCAGAGCGCTAATACGGGTCGAGCGTTCCGAGGAGTTAATATTCTCTCCCAGCAGCACTGTTTAAAGGCTCCCTGTTCCCCACAGATGAAGCCTACACAGCTGCAAAGGCTTAGTGGAAGGTTCCAGGCCCAAGAGAAGCCGAATCGGCCTCGGATAAATCCTTCTAACCTTTCTCAGTAGAAAACTGATACTGAAGCTGCATCTTTGAGTGCAGGACCCAGGGATAACATATTCGACGTACCCTACGATCCTATAAGCGATACCATCTACGGATACTCGGAGCAGCAGCAACCACTAGTACTCGAGGTGATCTGCAACGGGCGTCGCCTCCAGACCCTGGTGGACAGTGGTGCGTCCCACTCGGTGTGCGACCGCGGGACGTTGGAGAAAATTGGATAATCCTAAGAAGAAACCCAGTTTACAGCAACGATGGTGGACGGTACGAAGCTTCCCATCCACGGAAAGTCAACACTGCAGCTGCAGATAGGGGCTTTGAGGTGGAAGCCGACGTTGCCGATCACAAACATCAAGGGATTAGATTTTATCTTGGGGCGAGATTTCCTGAAGCAGTTCAACCCCGAGATCGATTGGGTCAACAGCAAGGTGTGCATCTACAACAACGGGAAACGAGTGGAGCTGCGAAGCTTGACGGATACAGGGAGCGTTCCTGAAACGACACTGGCACGGTTCGAACGGACAGTGAACGAGAGTAACACGGGTTACTTAGCACTGGTTATAGCAGCAGCAGAGGAGGAGGTCTTGGAGCAGTACAAGGATATAATGCCCGACGACCTACCCACAGGCGTATCTCCAGCACGCACCCACGAGCACGAGATCGTGGAGGAACCAGGTGCGAAACCCGTCTCACGTGCACCATACCGACTGAGTCCAACTGAACTGACAGACATGAAAAACAGATAGAGTATCTACTAGACAGACAACTGATCCACCCATCCACCTCTCCCTACGGTGCACCAGTTCTCTTCACTCCAAAGCCAGACGGTAGTTTACGGATGTGCATCGACTACCGCGCACTGAACAAACAGACAGCACTGACTACAGCGCCAGTACTCATCCTACCGGATCCAGACAGAGACTACGTGGTGGAAGCAGACGCTAGTGACCAAGCATTCGGAGCAGTACTGATGCAGCATCACGAACGCGGTTTGCAGCCCATCGCCTACCTCAGTAAGAAGCTACACGGAGCAGAACTAAACTACCCCATTCACGACAAGGAAGCCTTAGCGATAGTCATAGCCTTCAAGGCGTGGAGGTGTTACCTAGAGGGAGCCAAGACTACAGTCTATACTGACCACTGCAGTCTCAAATACCTGAAGTCACAGCCGACACTCTCACGACGACAGGTGCGGTGGGTGGACTTCCTGGAAACTCACTTCCACTACGACATCGTCTACAAGCCCGGGCTACACAACAAGGCAGACGCGTTGAGCCGCCCCGGACATGTCGCAGGCATCCAGCTCGACGGGATGAACCCTCTGCTGAAGGGTCTATTCCAACATGGGTACTCCGTGGACGCAGAGATTGCTACAGCACAGACCAAGAAGCTATTACAGTGGGAGAAAGACTTAGCTGTAAGGAAGGGTTCAGGAAAGATTTGGGTACCGAATTACGCCCCGCTACGGCAGATCCTATTGGAGGAGTTTCACGACGTACCTTACGCGGGACATTTCGGGAGCAACAAGACGTTAGCAGGGATAGCGAAGTATTACTACTGGCCCGGGATGGCAGTAGACGTGCAGCAGTTCGTCACCTCTTGCGACACGTGCCAGCGGATGAAGAGCAGCAAGCAGAAAAAAGCAGGGTTACTTCAGCCTCTACCCGTACCGGAGCAGCCATGGCAGGTCGTTAGCCTCGACTTCATCACAGGACTTCCTTCGACCTCACGGGGACATGATTCCATCCTCGTGGTGATCGATAAGTTCTCCAAAATGGGTCACTTCATACCGACCAACGCCACAGCTACAGCTGAAGCAACTTCTCGCCTCTTCTTCGACCGCATCATCACCATCCACGGCATCCCCACTACACTCATCTCAGACAGAGACCCCAAATTCACGAGTAAGTTCTGGAAGGAGCTCATGGGACTGTATGGGACAAAGCTTGCAATGTCTTCTGCATACCACCCCCAGACTGACGGACAGACAGAGCGACTCAATCAAGTGGTTGAACAGATACTACGCACAGCTTGCAAGGACGACGTCAGCCACTGGGACACACAGTTAGCGACCCTAGAGTTCGCTTACAACAACGCATCACATGCGGCCACAGGGAAAACTCCTTTCTTCCTATGTTCCGGACAGGAACCACTCACACCACAGCAGCCAACCACACCGGCACACGTCCAAGCCGCACATGACTTCGTCACCACCATGGAGCAGCTATGGGAGAAGACTCAGCGACGTCTCACCACGATGCAGAACTCCCAGAAGCAGTATGCCGATCGTCAGCGACGAGATCACTCAGTAGCAGTCGGAGATCAGGTGCTTCTTGACACACGCAACTTGAACCTGTCTCACCTCCCATCCAAACTCCGGCCTCGCTTCTGTGGTCCTTTTCTCGTTGAGGCACAGGTGACACCAGTTACATTCCGCTTGCGCTTACCAGATACATGGAAGCTTCACAACGGTTTCCATGTCCAGCTACTGAAGCCCTACAAGGACCCCAACCAACAGTTCCAGGGACGGCAACTACCGCCACCACCACCTGTTCTCATACAGGATGAACCCGAGTACGAGATCGAGCGCGTTCTCACCCATCGGCGCCGCGGTGGCAAGACCCTCGAGTTCCAGATATGCTGGAAGGGATACGACCCCACTGAGGACAGTTGGGTTGCAGAAGCTGATATGGGCAACACACGCCATGCTCTCAAGGACTATCTTGTCAAGCAGGGTGTATCTCACGCCACCCAGCTTTGAGGGGGGGACGTGTGAGAGTACGACGGCTTATGCCAGCTATGCTTGCTTGCCTCTACTTTATCATGCTATTTCTAGCATAGGATAATTATATGCATGCATGAATTGCTTGATTTCCTAGGCTAGGTGCTTTCCTATATTTTATTATAGTTATAGCACCGAGCTAGGTTGCGTGCACCGAATTCTGGCTTTTCGGTTGCCACCGAATTGCCTTCTACCGAATTTGGTAAGGATCTGTTCGGGACGCTTCGCGACCCGCGGAACCTTCGCGTAACACCTGGTTACGGGGCCTTCTGTCGAGCCTATATATAGCCTCGTGTTGTACCCAGGTGATCATTCAATTCGATTTGAATCATCTTTTCTGAGCTCGATCCCAGATCCTCACACTGGGGGTGCGGAGCCTGGGGGTGCTGGCTCTGCTCGTGTGGCCGCCGGCGGTACTTCGTCAAGGCGGGAAGCCGCTCTCTCCGCAGGAGCTGCGCGTGTGGTTCGCCCGCCGCTTGAGACGTGCTGCTGGAGCTGGAGCTGCTGGGGGTGTTGGCGCTGGTGTTTCTACTGGTGCTGGTGCGTCTGGGGGTGCTGCTGAGGCAGCTGGTGCTGACGGTCCTACTGGAGTTGGTGCTGCTGGAATTGGAGCTGCTGGGGGTGTTGGCGCTGGTGTTTCTACTGGTGCTGATGGTCCTACCGGAGTTGGTGCTGCTGGAGCTGGAGCTGCTCGGGGTGTTGGCGCTGGCGGTGCTGCTGGCGCTGGTGCTTCTGAGGGTACTGGAGTTGGCGCTGTTGGAGCTGGAGGTTCTGCTGGCGCTGGTGCTGCCGGTGGGGGTACTGGTGCCGTACTTGTTGGTTCTAGAGGCGCTGCGCGGCCGAGGCCGTACTTCGTTCCGCTCCTGGAGCAGGTTCTTGGTCTCCCGCCCTCTACTGGTCCTGCTCCTCCCCCTAGAGTGTCCACCGCGTGTCCAGTCGCAGTCACAATTACTGCCCGCCCTCCCCTCTACCCTGCTCCTTCTCCCTACACTGGTCCTACTACAGGTCTTGCTGAGCGTCGTGAGCCGTCCGTCCCGCGTCACCTGTTCGTGCTGCTCGCACTAGTGGTCGTACTGCGCGTCCGCGTCCTCCTGCGGTTCCCGGCACACACCAGATGGCACTGCGTCCTTCCACTGCTCCGTTGCGTGTCCCGTTGCCGTCTCCTCCAGAGTCCCTCTCTTCCTTCTCTTGCTGACCCGGAGTCTGACTCCCTTCGTGCTGCTAGTCCTTCGGTCACGCGCCCTTCTTGCTACTGTCGTCACTGACCCTTCCTTTGAGTCTGCTGCTGTGTCTGCTTCTCGTTGCTGAGCTTGTCAACTTCGCTGCTCACTGTCGTCTAGACTACGCTGCCAGTCTTAATGCTGAGTCTGAGTCTGTCTGTCCTCCGTCCGTCGGGGGTGAGTGTGCTCTTAGCACGGACGTCCTTGAGGACAGGCAGGAGGAGTTCCAGTGCTTTGCGGCTGCTTTGCCCCATCTCGTGTCCCATGCTGATTACCCCTGAGGGAGACCCGGTGCACCAGACATCCCGACTCCTCGATCGTACGCTGAGGCGATCGAGGGTCCCTACTCCTCTCAGTGGCAGTCGGCCATGGACGCAAGAGATGGCTTCCTGGAAGTCCACAGGCACCTACATCGACGAGGTTCCCCCACCTGGGGCGAACATCGTCAGTGGGATGTGGAATCTTCAGGGTGAAGCGGCCGCCAGGCTCTCCGCCTGTCTTCAAGGCGCGTTACGTGGCTCGAGGCTTCAGTCAGCGGCAGGAGTTGACTACTTTCATACCTTCTCTCCCACCCCGAAGATGACCACTCTTCGGATGCTGCTGCACATAGCCGCTCAGCGCGACTACGAGCTTCACTCTCTTGACTTCAGCACTGCTTTCCTGCAGGGCAGCCTGCACGAGGAGATCTGGCTGCGCCGCCCTCCTGGCTTCACTGGGTGTTTCCTCCTGGCACCCAGTGGAGCCTCCGGCGGCCAGTCTACGGTCTCCGCCAAGGCGCCCCGTGAGTGGCACGACATACTGAGGACTACACTTGCGGCTCTTGGGTTTGCTCCTTCTACAGCCGACCCGTCGCTATTTCTACGCACCGACACCTCTTTGCCGCCGTTCTACATCCTCGTGTACGTCGACGACCTGGTCTTTGCCCCTGCTGACACTACTGGACTCGCCCACGTGAAGTCCGAGCTGCAGAAGAGACACACGTGCACAGACCTGGGTGAACTGCGCAGCTACCTTGGCTTGCAGATCACCCGGGAGAGAGCACAGAGCACCATTACCCTGACTCAGTCACACATGGTGCAGCAGGTCCTTCAGCGCTTCGGCTTCACGTACTCCTCGCCTCAGGCCACTCCTCTGCCTACTCGCCACTCGCTCTCAGCTCTGCCTTCGGATGAGTCCGTAGAGTCGAGTGGCCCGTACCCAGAGCTTGTTGGCTGCCTCATGTACCTGATGACCTGCACACGACCTGACCTTGCATACCCTCTTAGCATCTTGGCACGCTATGTTGCTACTGGGAGACACCGACCAGAGCACATGGCTGCAGCGAAGAGGGTGTTGTGCTACATGTGCAGTACGTCGGGCATGGGGCTAGTGCTTGGAGGGCGACGTCGAGTACTCCTCACAGGTCATGCTGACGCTTCTTGGGCTGACGACCAGGCTACGCAGCGGTCGTCACAGGGTTAACACCTTCAGCCTTGGCTCCGGCTCTGTTTCGTGGCGGTCTACCTGCTCGTCCTCTGTTCTCGGCTCCAACTGTGAGGCTGAGATCTACGCAGGGGCCAGGCTGCACAGGAGCTATGCTGGCTCACCTACCTGCTGATTGACCTAGGAGAGCCGCCTCGTTCTCCTCCAGTTCTGTACGTAGACAACAAGGCCATGCTGGCCTTGTGTCGGGAGCACAGACTGGAGCACAGAATGAAGCACATTGCTCTCCGCTACTTCTTGTCTCGTGAGCTGCAGCAGCGTGGTCAGCTCCGCCTCACCTACGTGGCCTCTGAGGCCAACACTGTTGATATCTTCACCAAGGCCCTTTCGCCTTGTGATCATCAGCGCTTCTGTACTGTGCTAGGTCTTGTGCCTACCTGGCCTCACTTGCTCACTTCTTGATCTTGTTTGTACTGTCTTCTTTTCTATACCTGCCCTTGCTTGTTTTACCTTATATATATGACCTTGCATGTGAACTGGCCTTGTGGCCTTACTCTTGTGCTTGGACTGTGTGGTGACTTTGTGATCCACCCTGAGCTTGCTTTGCTTTGCTTGACTGGTCTTGTGACCACTTGTTCTCCCCCACTTTGCCTATGGGGGTGTGTCAGAACATTATAGCTCATACATTTGTGTAGGCTGTAGTGGGGTAGCCCATAAGGGGTACAACCCAATTAGGGTTAGTACTTGTACCCAACTGTTTCATAGTTCATTCATTCCATTCTCACTTCTCGTCCCCAGGATGCTAAGAGGGTAAGCAAGGTTAGGACGAGTGCAGGTCATCAGGTACATGAGGCAGCCCACAAGCTCTGGATACAAGCCACTCAGCTCTACATACTCATCCAAAGGCAGAGCTGAGAGCGAGTGACCGGTAGGCAGAGGAGTGGACAGTGGCGAGGAGTACGTGATGTCGAAGCGCTGAAGGACTTGCTGCACTATGTGTGATTGAGTCAGGGTGATGGTGCGGCGCGCTCTGTCCAGGGTGATCTGCAAGCCAAGATAGCTGTGCAGCTCACCCAGGTCTGTGCACGTATGTTTCTTCTGCAGCTCCGACTTCACTAGAGTCACTGCCTCAGCTTCAGCAGTGGCAAAAACCAAGTTCTTGACGTACACAAGGATGTAGAATGGCGGCAGCGAAGTGTCGGTGTGTAGAAATAGCGATGGGTCAGTAGTAGAAGGAGCAAACCCAAGAGCCGCAAGCGTAGTCCTCAGTGTGTCGTGCCACTCGCGAGGCGCCTGGCGGAGACCGTAGACTGGCCACCGGACGTTCCACTGGGTACCAAGAGGAAACGACCTAGTGAAGCCACGTGGGCGGCGCAGTCAGATCTCCTCGTGCAGGCTGCTCTGTAGGAAAAAAGTGCTGAAGTCAAGAGAGTGAAGCTCGTAGTTGTTGGTGTAAGGGCCTAATAAACTCAAGCTATTAAGACTTTATCACACTTAAAACCTCTCCTCGGGGTCACCTCCAAGGGTCCTTGGGTGCCTGGTACAAGACCAGCCCCTATCCTCGGGTCCGAGTTTGTAGAGAGAGGGATCAAGAGGGACTTAGTCAAAACAGCAAGAGTACCTTGAGCGTCGCGCAGCGTATCGTGCAGACCGTCGATCGGATTAAGCTGAGAATTTCCTATATCGAAGCTCACCCTAAGAGCTTTAAAATAAGCCAAGTTGCCTCGCGAAAAGTTCTGCCATTACGAAGTTATGGCTCGGACAGCGTTAGCCTAGCGTTGGAGTGCTAGCGTACTAGCGTTGACTCGGGTAGCATTCCGCCGTCGCACCGCGTAGAAAGGAAATTCCAGCAAGGAAGGAATTCGCTTGAATCAATTTCACTATATTCAGGTACAAACAGAGAAGGAATAAATAGCTCTAGCTAGCAAGGACCTTGGGAATCAACCTGGGAACAACCAGGGATGATCCCAAATAATTCCAAGCAACAGAACCAACCTGGCTGGACAAAATAGCAGGTGATAGGTTGGTGAACAACCTCTGGTTCTGTTTTTCCAACCTGGGAAAGCAACAACCAGGTTCAGGTCCTAAAAACAGAACCTGTTCAGCCAAATGCTGGTTCCGCTGGTTTCCCCTGGCCCTATAGCATGCAGATACAGACAAACAACATCCAACCTTCACCTAAATTGTACCCCTATAGTGCCTGCCCTGCTACACTATAGTCAACCAAACAAAACAGTACAATTTCGAGTTGGATAGAAATGAATCTGCGCAATCAAGTAAGTTGAACCGCAAAGCTTCCATCTTGGGTTCCTTTGCGAGCTCGTCCTTTCTGCTTGTACTGTTCATAGCGCGTACAATGTTATGCCGAAGCGCACATTTTGCGAGTACCTGCAAATGCTTCAAGCAAAAATTGCGAAAGCAAACAAACACACAAACATACCATTCACACGCAAATGCATTCGCACACGCATACTCGTACAAACAGACGGCAGGATGTCGTGCAATGTGAATTTGCACCCAACACACTCCCCCTCAGCCTGCCGGCTGCATCCCCATCATTCCATACTAGTTCATGCTCATTCCACTCATGCGCACACAACGCCAATGAGACTCATCCGCAAGCCTCTTGGTGAGGAAGTCTGCTGGCTGCTGGTGAGTCTTGATGTAGATCGGATTCACCGTCCCCCTCTTCACCTCCTTACGCAGCCAGTGCCACTTGATACGCATGTGCTTATTCAGCCCATGAAGCACAGCGTTCTTGGCCATCCCAAGAGCTCCCTTGCTATCACAAAACAGCGGCGTAGCAACCTTTTGCTCCTGGCCAATCTCCTCCAACAGCCTCCTCAGCCAAATCACCTCCTTCACCCCATGGAACATCGCCATGTACTCTGATTCCACGGAAGAGAGTGCTGTCTCCGTCTGCTTCTTTGACCTCCAACTAACCGGTCCTCCCCCAACTACGCAGATGTATCCTCCCACAGACGAGGAATCCTCCTTCTCAGAGGCCCACGTAGCATCAGTAAAGCAAGTGAGAAAAAGCTTGCCTTCTCCAAGCCTCTCCCCCTTCTCTTTCAGCACCTCAACCCCCTTCTGCTTCACCTGTGCAGATGCGGAGTATTGAACTCCAATGCTTGGGTGAGAGTTCAGATACTTCACCACACGCTCAGCTGCATCCACCTGCTCCTCTGATGGATTCTGCACTACCCTAGCCAGCTGCCCAATCGAGAAAGAGATGTCGGGTCTCGTGTGAACTGCTGCATACAAGAGGCTGCCCACCAAGGACTGAAATTGCTGCTGCTCCTCGGCTTCAACCCCTTCATCCTCTGCAGCTTTCACAAGCTTGAATTCTGCTGGCAGGGGAGTTGCAACCTTGCGCTCATTCTCAATTCCGTACTTCTCCCCAAGCTCCTTGATGAACTTCTCCTGGTGCAGCTTCAACCACCTGTGATCCAGATCCCTCTCCACGTGCATCCCGAGGTAGTACTTTACCTCCCCAAGGTTCTTGCACTTGAAGTTCTCCATCAGCTGCTGCTGCACCTTCTGGACCTCCTTCATGCTGCTGCTAAAGAGAAGAATGTCGTCCACATAGACCAGAAACAGCACCAGCTTCTCCCCCTCCCCCTTGAGAAAGAGGCTCTCATCACAGCTGCTGGTCCTGAATCCCATCTCCTCTAAAACAGTTGCCAACTTCTGGTACCAGCAGCGTGGCGCCTGCTTCAAGCCATAGATGGACTTTTTCAGCTTGCACACCCTGCCCGTACCATCCTCATACCCAGGTGGCTGCGTCATGAACACCTCCTCCTCTAAAATCCCGTTGAGAAATGCCGTTGATATGTCCATCTGGATAATGAACTTCCCACTAACGGCTGCATCTGCCAACAAGACACGAAGGGTAGGGGGTTTGGCAGTGGGAGCAAAGATCTCATTGAAGTCCCGCTTCTCCTTCTGCATAAACCCCTTAGCCACCAACCTACTCTTGTAGATGGTGACCTGCCCCTTGTCGTCAGTCTTGATCCTTAGCACCCACTTGCATTGTACCGCTTTCTTTCCTTCAGGAAGCACCACTAGTTCCCAAGTCCCATTCTCCAGCAGGCTCTGGTACTCAGCATCCCTGGAAGCTAGCCATTTGTCCCTATCTGGTCCAGCTAATGCCTCCTCCATGCTAGCTGGTTCCTCTGGTGCAGGGGCAAGAAAACAGTACGCAGGTTGATCCTCCTCATCCGGGTCATAGCCATGCGGTAGAATCAGCAATGCCTCCTCGGTCCCAAGCTGCTGCTCCGCTACATCAGCTCCTGCAGTCAGCTTCTTAGTAGCCATACGGGTACGTCCTAGCCTGGAGACGGGTGTCTCCCATCCCTTCATAATAACACCCTTCGGCTTCTTAGTTTTCCCCTGCTGCTGCTCTCCTCCCTCGGATCCAGCAGCTCCACTAGTGCTACCGCTAATCTCCACACCATCACCTCCACCAGCAGGTGCCTCCTGCACCTTCTCTTTATCACCACCCTCTGCAGCTGCCTCCTCTCCCTCCTCCCACACACTAGGAGTCAGGTCCAGCTGCATGGTGATCTGCTCCATCTGCTGGGACACCCTGGCCTCCGGCTGTTTCTCCCAGCTCCCATACATCATGCCCTCAACAAACTTCACATCCCTGCTGTCAAACAACACACCCTTGGAAGGCTCCCACAGCAGCCATCCCTTGCTCTCAGCAGCCAGCCCCAAATGCACACACCAGATTGCACTCGCCCCCAACTTACTGCGGTAGGTCTTGGGAACGTGGGCGACTGCCATGCAACCGAACACCCTCAGCATGTCCATCGGCGGCTTCCTCCCAAGCCACCTCTCCAACGGCACCCACGAGTCATCCCCAACCTTTGTGAGTACCCTGTTCCTAGCGACGGTAGCGTGCCGAACAGCATGGGGCCACATCAAGTTGCCCAGCCCAGATTCTATGAGCAGCGCCCTAGCTGTCTCCAGAATTGTCCGGTTCGCCCGTTCTGCTACACCGTTGGACTGTGGGGTGTAAGCCGTGGTCAGCTCCCTCTGGATGCCCTGCTTCTTGAGCCAGGCCGTCATCTCAGCTCCAAGGAACTCACCACCCCGATCTGTCCTAATCCGCTTCACCACACACTCCGCTTGCTTCTCCACGAACGGCAGCCAATCGTCCCGAATCGTGGAGGCGGCGTGATCTTTCTGCTTCAGCGGATACGCCCACATTAGCCTGCTCCAGTCATCCACTATGGTTAGGAAGTACCGCTCCCCCTTGTGCCCTTGCACCGGCAGCGGCCCCACCAAGTCCATGTGGACCAGCTCCAACGGCTTTTTGCTCCTGCCAGCCACACTATGGAAGGGGAAACGGGTGAACTTTGAAAGGAGGCAAATTTCACAGTTATCATCGGGTGGTTGTCCGTTCAGCTTTAAGCCCTTAACGGCTCCATCCTTCTCCAGCTGCTTCAGCAAAGGCA